TTTGAAGACAAAACAAACATGTAGAGAAAATAAACTTTGTGACCTGAGAACCATTAATAAAATGATTGTGCATCATTTTATTTCTTCCTCTATTATGAAACCTTTATTGATTGGTTAAATAAGGACAAAATATTTTAATCATTGATTTTAAAACATTGCAGAAGATGGCAATGACTAATCACTTCCATACTTTTTCCAGGAGAAAAACATGTTTGTATCCATATGATCACCTGGAACTGATCTTTACTCATGGAAAACTTTCCTTGCTATTTGCATATAGAATTTATATTTATTTGATGAAAACTATTCTTTCTTCAGCCTCAAATAATTCATTATAAATAATGCTATGAAACTATTTCGAATTCTCTGGAGAGATGTAGGGTAGGATAGAATTTGCACTTTTAGTTCCATAACCATGGTTCTACCATTGTTCATTTAATAGTCCTAACTACAAAATGTTTCTAACTACTGCCTTTCAGTCTTTGTATTGTTGACAAACACAATCCAGACTTTCCTTCCCCATTTTTATTATACTGATAATAAGTGAAGTTGACACATGTCATCGTAATATCTGGAAGGCCTGTTCTCTCAGCTTTGTCTATTCAGTCTGGCAAAATGAGACTCGGAGTTATGCATCAAGAGGGCTTTTGCCTTAATTTTAAGACATTTTTAGACATTGGTTAAATGCACTGCATCTATTCATTCCTTTCAAGTTCAGGGTGACTTTAAAATCATGTTTGAGAGAGAGTATTTAAGGACAGAAAAAAATGTGTACTTAATTTTGGCAGGAGGACACAAAGGATGTTCAGTTTTCTTTTTGAAATGTTAGTACCAAAGTATCACAGGATTGATATCTTTGTCTTGTCTAAGCCTACTATATCTGGAGTATAAAAGTCCAGATAACCATTAGATGCAACAAAGATATATAGTGGTGGTCCAGTTTTTTACAGTCATGATCAGGTACATAGAACATTGAATAACAGAGTTGGTTGAGTAGGAGACCCTATACCATTTCAGGCAAATGACTGTCCAGTCTATTCTTAAAAGCTTCCAGTGATTGGATACCCACAACCTCTGAAGGCAAACCATTCTACTGGTTGATTGTTTCACTATATATAACCTTGTCTGAGTCTATATATTCAGATATATTGAAGCATTTAATACTCTTCTTTTCAAATTGGTCAGTGGCTAGACTAAAAGTTTTAGAAAAATTAAATTTTATAGAGTTGTCTATATTCTTTATCATTTTGAGAATTAGTTCATGTTTGAAAAATGTCTCCTACGTTTGTTGATTTTTTTGTTTAATGTTTTAATGTTTTAATGTTTAATGAGCACTCATAATTCCTTAATCTATTTTAGAAGAGGGAATTGGCAATTCACAACTATTTGAATATTATGACTCCTGAATGGGGAATATATCTACCCAAAATGGTTTTTCTATCTGCTGCTATGTAGTAGTTATCCAGAAATGCTAATTTTATACATGACGCTTTGATATGTTTGAAATACAAGTCTCAAACATCTGTAAAATGTCAAAGGGGCTCCAAACTTTGCCTTATCTGTCATTGAGTGATCATTTGGATTTGCAATCTAGATATGGTAATCCTAAACAAATGTATGCATATTTGATATGTCAATGATGGATTATTATGCTCTGTGAAATATATCGAGTGTTGTTATGTTCATAAAATATATTGCTTTTAATCATTTCATTTTAGGGATAATATATGAATGGCATTTATTAATTCTAACCGTTGGTTTATTCTGTAATAACAATCCCTCTAAATATGGTCAGCAAGACATAACTGAATGCAATTCTATCGGTTAATTGAGATGTAAAGCAATATAAAGGTACTGTAAATCAGGCAAAGGTTAATAATGAGGGAAATAAAAGTCTACTTGCCTTGAAAGATAAGTAAATCACATTAGGTAATGAGTTTAGTGGCAACAGAGAAAGTCCTGTTCAGAGGTACATCTAAGTAAAAGGATTTGGATTAATACAATCAGTCTTATCTTGCCTTACCTGGTTTTTTAGATATATTAGTTTTCTGCTTTTTACATTGGACCTCTTTGTGCCATTCACATAAAATAAATTTGTGCCAAATCTATTGTATGTGAATGGGAAACTACATATCCCAAGCATTCTACGTAGTAGGATAATATTTAAAGGGACTGTATATGAAATGGCTATATTTGAAGATCTTTCACAGCCAATTAATTGCTGATGATCATATCAATGGTGTATACAAATCTACTTTTATTTGTAGATCTACTTGTATATGATACCGATATACACCTTCCCAGCTCAAGCTGTTTCATAAGAATTAAGGTACAAAATCCATCAGTAATGGTATTTCACTTTATCTGATTATACCCAACCACTTTTATAATTTACATCAAGAATTCTAGATTGGTACTCTTCTTTTGCATGTTGATACTGTTCTATTTGAGTGTCATCTTGTCATTTCTTTTTGAGAACTAGTTCTTGTTTGAAAAATGTCTCCCACTTTTGTTGAGAGTTTTTTTTCCCAGAGGCTTCCATGCTGAGATTTTTCCAGAGGCTGAATAGATCAATATATTTTAGAAGAAATATTTTGACTTTTTAGCTTCATCTTTGATGCATTTCCAATCACACCTTCATACAAATATACAACCATGTACATGCAAACACAGACATATATATACATTCTGTAGGGTTAGTTTGCAATAGTTTATTGAACAGATTACATATCCATTAAATAGTAATTCCATAAGCAAACTACACCTGCATTTTGACATTTCTTTAGTTACTAGATCTACACCTAAGTACTATTTTTCAACATTTTTTCAACATTCATTACTTTCTTTTCATAATCTCTGTGGGGACACTTAAGTTTATAGTATTTGTTTCAATTTTACTCTTCAACATATCATTATAATTCCCATAACCATATCTAAAATACTGCTTCTGGAACTCTTTCATCTGAGATTCATGCCAAATTACTTCATTCCTTTTATTTTTAATTCCATCTACTCTGCAAGAGGCTACATTAGCCCTCTTCACCCACATAAGAAACACATTTTTATATCCATTAAATGACTAAATTTTGGTGGCACTCTGTAACATTATCATTTTCTCTCTGTTCCAAGCAGCTTCCAAATCTTCTATTAGTAGATTCATTTGTCTTCTAATATGTTTTCATATAAACTTTTCTCTTTCTGAAATCATTCTACTTCACACTTACTTCTACTTCTTGTGTATCAATACACTGTAGATTCTCCCTATTTAGTAACAGTATGCTGGCTTGCAAAGAAGTATCTAGATTAAAAACCTTAGCTTGCACAGAATTACCTGAACAAGTTTGGTGTGATAAAAAATGTACCAAATATGGCTACTATAGTTGTTACAATTAACAGTGAATACTGCATCTGGCATGGATATAATTAAGACTATTATCCTAACCTATACCTTTTCTTACCAACAAGCTCTATGTGAACAGATCAATTGATTACTACTAACAATATAAAACTGTAAATAATGTTAGAGCAGAAGAATCTGCTCCAAGCAGTATGTGCCATTTAGCTTCAGATCACAGCCATTTTTGGTGGCTGTTTGATTTAAAGAATGCTACTCCATTTTAAATCTTACTATATGTTTTCTGCTTCAGACACAATCTAACTTGTGTATTAAATCTAAAGGAAAATTGTGATGAATAACTGGAATAAAGCACTGTTATTGACTAACTGTCTAGTGTACACCATAGATATATTTTCTTTCTCTTCTGCTCGGTGACCAATAAATTGAATGATAGAAGAGGTAAAAGGAAGGGCATACATGTCTGGCAGCCTTTCTCAGATTGAAATAAAATGATAAAAGAGCTGGCCTGGCCTTGCCTGGCATCTCAGTCTGTACAAGGAAGCTGCTATTAACTTAAAAATGAGGCAGGACGAAGAAGAGATACAGAGTATTTATTACAGCTTTTGACAGGCTCAGAATCAGAATCCAAGACAATTTGAGCAAGGGATACAATTCAAATGATGCTCTCTGTGGAAATAACAAATTATAATATCTTTATTCTGCCATTTTGTTTGGGAGTGAATTGATTTAATTGAAACTGATTTGAACCCCTTCTTTTTTTTTTCTTTGTTTCAACTTGGTTTTGTTATGTCTGTCATTTGCTTTGCTTCATGTTTGTTTTTTGCTTTAAATGTAAAGAGTCCTTTTGATATGAGAGAGGCAAATAAATGGCAGGCAAATAAATCTAATCAATGAATAAAAACAAGCAAACAAACAAACAAATAAATAAATGTTTTTAATATTTTGTAAACCACCCAGAGTCAGCGGGGTCAGGCAACATAATAATAACAAAATAACTAATTTAAGTTACTATGATAAAATACAGCCTTTGTATTTTCATCTGTTTGTTACTGTTTTCACTTTTAGGCAAATTAGCCATGATAGTGGTAACCTAACCCTAACCCACTATCTACACCTAAGTAGTATTATGATAAATGCATGCTGTTCTCGGCCCAATAGTCTCACCTCCACTCTACTTTTCTGCCAATCAATTTCTGTTTGGTATCAGAATGATAATCAGATGATAAACTTTACAGAGGGGCATGTCTAATGTATGAGGGAATGCTTAATGTGCAATATAATATAAGTTTAAGCTTCTCTATAAATTTAACATTCTGGTGGCTTTATATGTGACTGAGGCAGTACTAGATTTACAAAGCAACACCTTGCCTTGTCTAATTTCAAAAAGATAAGTGTACCTGGATCCGGTTAATACTTGGATGAGGACTCATTGTTATCATATCTTATGTGATAATGGCACTAACAAAAGTATTTTTCAAATTGAAATACATAATATAATAACTATACTATAATAACTATATTATACTATACTATACTATACTATACTATACTATACTATACTATACTATACTATACTATACTATTAAGCTTAAATATGTACTATATAATCCATTAATTATAATTTATGTTTCTTTTTCAATAGGTTCACCAACAAAATTGTAACTTTCAAAAATGGAATTTTGTATAGGAAGAAACAGATAAATTGGAATTAAAGGTGTGAATATTCACTTCCCTTTGGAGGTATCTGCTTTTAAGGACGATATGTTGATTCAGAAGATCCAGAGAGAGAATCGTGAAATTTATTTCATCTACTCAGTCCATGGACTTTTAACTTACTTCTTCAAGGCAGCAAATTTCCACAAAGTTGTGTGATGGATATAGCAGTGTATCTCTGTGCCTGGAAACCTCACATTGTGGATTAGTCTGCTATCAATTCCATTTCGGGGACAGGATTGGATGTGATGGATTTATCTTCAGATATGAGTAGGCATGGAAGAAATCCATTCAGTCACAAACTGGAAGATCAGAAGAAGGTAAGGCCATATATTTTTCTTCTATTTTAATATTATTTTACAAAATTTATTATCATTTTCAAAATATTCTGCAAATATACTATTATGTACCATATGATTTTTACTTCACAGTAGTTATTTGTGGAACTAATTTTATTACTACCTGATCACTGACTTCCAAAGAATCTTGAAATTATTGAGCAAATATGATTGGCAAAACGTTCACTCTTCTACCATTTCCGACTCTGTGCCAAGTGTTTCTGTAATAATGACTGTTATTAACTTTCAGGCTTAGCTTGTTTGAATGTTCAATAACTTTCTGGGAAAATAAATGCTTCCCTGTGGCTTCTAATATTGATTTATGAAAAGAACATCACCATCTATTAATTAGTATTATGTATGGAATGAGCAAATGTTGTTGAATATGCCTGTTTTAGAAATTATAATTTATTTGGGATGAATATTAGAGTTATTTATTTAACACAGATTCTTTTAAATTTTTCCCATGAATGCATAAGCTGAATAAGAAAATATTTCCATTTCTTTTAAAGATTTCATTTGCAGATGATCAAGCTTGCCTGTGCAAGGTTTAAAAGTTCATCTCTCTAAATAGATGGCTATTTCTGTAATTCTTTCTGCACTGAGATGTCTGATGACAGGTTTTAATTGGAACTGATTGAATTGCATGTTCAACCATGTAAATTAAATGAATTAATGAATAAATAAATCCTACAAATTTCTTGATCAGGAATTCTATTTTATTAAAGTTTCTAGTTGCAAGGCAAGTTTATAAATGCACTTTGATACATTGTAATGGATGTATTTCTATAGAACCTAACTTTCAGTTAACATAAAGAGTTCTGTACATAACAAAATATATTATTATTAAATGTTCAGAATTGAATGTTTGCTAGAAAGTTTGTCCAGAAAGTACTAGTGATTGGGGCTGAAGTCATGCGTTCAAACTACTTATGTCGCATGGAGATCAGTGCATACTTAATCAGCCTTCATGTAAAATAGGCAGCTTGATTATGGTCCATTCTCAACTTCTGTCTATCACCTTCTCACTTAATTGCAAAGATAAACTGAATGGTCCAAACACAGATTTTAAGGATTACTTTGTCAATTCACTTTGGAACTCAATGTGATTGCTTTGAATGGAAACAGCTTTCAGAGATCTTTGGCAAGAATCTTTCCAAGCTGTTGGCTGATATTCTAATGGCAGAAACTGAATGTAGTTCCTTTTGCAATATAAAACATGTACTGTACCTCTGAATTTTAAAACAATGATAATTTCAGGATAATAAGTATGTATTTATATAAACAGAACATTTTCTTAATAATTTTCCTAAATTATATAAAACAAAAAACTTCTGAGAAATTGTAGGTGACAGAACATTAAGCACATATGTTGCCAGTTTAGCCCATTTACTATTAAACAGGGACTATAGGTTGATCCTATCCTTTCCCTCATTGTTATACACTCCAGCAGAATTATGTAAATTACAGAATTGTGGTTACTTTTCAAAGATTTTTTTTAAGTTGAGCTACAATGTTTCACTATTTTGTTGGCACTGTTTTTTATTGCTTTGTGTTTCTAAGCATTAGACATATGAAAATTTGTTTTAGTGTTTTGTTGGATTGCTGAAGGCTTTCTATGAGATGGGCGATCATATTCATTTGGTTAATAAACAAAAATAAATAATGTTTAAGAAAGGTATTGTTCTACTGTGGGAATGTTATAGACAACCACCCATTTGTCTCCCTGTATGTATTCCTTCTTAGGAAAATTCCTTGCCATATGGGTTTTATGGATTTCAGTATTACTATACAGTTTAAATAATCTATTTTGAATTTGAGTACAAGTTGATAAAACTGGAGCTATTTCTTCTACTGAGTAAGATACAACTGATGGTGTATCGTCGTTTCAGACAAAGTGTGTGCTGTGTGTGTGGGTTTTTCTCCAGTGATATTTATTTGATTTGCTAATATCAATTTGTTTGAAGATAGTGCAATGTCCAAGGGGTTATACAAAGCACTCGAAGAAACACTTTGCCAAGGGCATTCCTTGCCTGGAAGAATGCAAATAGCTACATCTTGTAGTAAGCTCGGAGGCCTTCCCAGGTTGTTATTATTTATGTATTTATCTATTGCCTTTCTTATGTTAGAAAATAACTCTAGGCATCAAACATGCATAATACTCTTTCCTCTTCCTATTTTCCCCACAACAACAATTCTGTGAAAGATTGGGCTGAGAGGAATGACTTGCCCAAGGTCAATTAGCTGGTTTTCATGATTAAAGTGGCACTAGAATTCACAGTCTCCTGATTTCTTTGCATCCATATGCATAAGCACACACACTTTGCTTTGTGAAGATTTAATTTAATTTAGTTTAATTAATCATATTTCTATGCCGCCCAACTCCCAAGGGACTCTGGGCGGCTTACAACAAAAATAATACAAACAATGAACATAATTTTTTTTAAAAAAAACATTATAAAAGCATTTAAAAAATATTAAAAACACATGCACACCATCCATGGCCGGATCTCACAAAATTGAACAGTGAGATCAGCAGCCCCAGGCCTGCCAGAAAAGCCAGGTCTTCACTGCTTTCCGGAAGGCCAACAGGGTGGGGGTAGTCCGGACCTCAGGAGGTAACTGGTTCCAGAGAGCTGGGGCAGCCAGAGAGAAGGCCCTCCCCCGTGGGCCCAGGGAAAGCTTTGGAAGCAACTGTTTTAAGCTTTCTAGGGATGCAGTTGCCTCAGTACTTCATGGATGATCACTTTGCCCTTTGAAATGTTTTGCAAAACCTTAATATTAAGTAGTATTTCAGACTTCAGGGAATATTGCATCCTATGGACAGGGCACCAGTAAGGAAAGCTTCCTAGAGTTGTTAAGAAACTACTACAATCTCTGACAAACTGAAATAGGTGTGCAAACTAATTTAGCTAATACAAGATTTTAGCTGTATATGTATTTTCTCTAAGCCTGTCTGACTACTGGAAAAAAAGCAATGTGTTTTTCCCCTCCCGTTATGAGAACAGGAGAAGGCAGCTTTCAGAGAATATTTAAAGATATTAAAACTTTAAGATGCTTTAGAAACCACACAAAAATATTTGCCTGTTACAAAGACATATTTCAGGAAATGTCTTCCAACTTGAGATGCTATATTGAATACAGTTTTGACAAACACCTAGTCCATTTCACCATCAAGCCCACATGAATCAGTGTTTTTATTGGATCCTGCAATAGTTTTATCATCAAGACAAAAATATCTTTATCCTCTCTCTCTCTCTCTCTCTGCTCCCTCCCCCCTCTCCCTCTCTTTTTCTAATAAGAACATAAATCAATTAGATGCACTGTTCAGAATTTCACTTTCCACATTGCATCTTCATTGTTGGCTTAATAAATAGTTCCTTTGCTATAGCAACAATATTTTCTGTCTCAAATAAATGAAATGGCAAAACTGCTTATAAAGCATAGCTATAGCAATAGAATTTAGATTTATATGCCACTTCATAGTGTTTTACAGCTGTCTCTGAGCAGTTTATAATGTCAGCATATTGTCCCCAACAATCTGGGTCCTCATGAGTGAAGATCTTAATTTATTTGAGATTTTTAAGGATGAAAACCCAGATTCCATTTGTGTATTAAATAATGGTGTTGATAGCTTCAGTCTTTTAATAATCTGAGTCCCAGATCTGTTTAAAAACTTTTAGCTAAAGCAGTCAGAGCAGGGGTGGGTTCTACTTACCTTTATTACCAGTTTGCAATGGGGTCGCGCACGTGCGCTCACTTTGCACTTCTGCGCATGCAGAAGATGACATTGGGGTCGGTGGGTGGAGCCTCCCACCGGTTTTACTACCGGTTCTATAGAACCGGTCTGAACCAGGGGCAACCCACCACTGAGTCAGAGTTGAAATTATATTACACTCAGCATGCCTGAGTCCTGGCTGATGATTATTCTTTACCAGTATTAATAATGATGGTGAATACAGAGTGGATGAAGTTCTCTTGTTTTAATAATAACAATAATACCTTAAATATTAAAACAAATATTAATTTAGTAATACTTCAATTATTACATTGTAATCTACTTGTAATTCCTACTGTATGGTCAGCAAGTATATAGATATATATTTCTAAATTTGGAAATATCCAGTTAATGCAGGATTAATTTATGTAGTATGAGAATTTTGGAAAACTATTGATACAATTTTCCAGGTAACTTTGCATCTTTAAAAGTCATGCTAATCTTGGAATGTCACAGCCTGTCAAAGATTATTTCAATTGTACTCAAGTCAAATACAAGATAATCCAGAAAATATTCCAGTATGATAAATTTACTTTTCCTGAAAAGCCTACATTCTTTACTTGAAATCTGTTGAACTGTGGTATTGTTATTGAATATTTCTACCCTTATGTATCATCACCTCTTCCTTTCAGTTCTGAACTTTCAGGACAATTGCAGAAAATTATGAAAAACTGGTAGCAGCTGTACATGCTAACCCATCACAGTCAATATTTGGATAATCTGCAGGCTTCTCAAAAACTTAACCATTGTCATATTAGAAGGCATAATTTTGTTTGTTGATCATCAATACATGTATACATGCATGCATACATACATATTGTCATGGCTTGTTTCGCAAACCCAGCTCACAGCGAGACAGGAAGCAATGGGGGAGGGAATGGATTGGAATACAAGGGAGGGGATTATGGAATGCAAACACACACATACATACATACTTACACACATGCATACATACATCTTACATTATACATATGTGAAACAATAATATATGGAAGTCCTTCTCTAGCCTCTGTTTTGTCTCCATAAGACTTGTGGTTTGCTTTTCCAACATTTTTCCTGCTTTCTGAGCTGAAAAGGGAGCTCTTCATTTAACTGATTGAATTCATGCTCAGCAAGAGCAGGGCTCGTGAGCTTTAAATCAGGGCAAGAGAGTGATGGTGTTTGACTTTCCAGACATATAGAAGAAAAGAACAGAGAGAATGGA